CTGACAGCCTTCTACGATGTTAAGCTACACGCCTGCCGTCCTCCTGAAACACGTTGAGAACGGGCAGTCTCCTGTTCTGGAGGCAACAGGGCAGGACCAAGCAAGCACTTGGCCGACTAGGACAATGTTACAGAGCAGCTGGTCCCGCCCCAACTGCCTCACCATGTGCTTTACTTTAGCCAGTTCCTGCTGCTGAAAGCCTTCCAGCTCATCGTAATCGTCTCGCTTCTGGAAGAGATTCAAGCTCTGCTCTCGCATCCCTTGTAATTGTGCTGTAAGGATCTTCCTCTCCTGTTAAGTGTCCGATAGGCATACAGAACAGGGTTAGGAAACAAACATGGCAACACAAAAGCCAACCAGTCTAAGAGGAAGCAGCTGTGCATTCCTCCACGCCCCCCCCCCAAAAGTCCATTTTCAAGGCCCCAGGACCCTATGAGCATCTCCTGGGATTTCAGGAGCGGCTGTATGCCCCTGAACAATCCAGCCCTCTGGTGGACAGCCTGGAAATGAGGCCCTTCCATCCATGTTCACTTGCAAAGAAAGAACATCCACTATGTGCTCCAGTCATTGATTCCTGGAGAACAGCAACTGAACCACACACAGGGGAGAAAGCAAAAGGCAGAGAGACCAAGCAGCTCAAGGTATGCAGTACAGCTTCAAGCTTTGAGCCCCTGGGTGGGTGAAGGATGAATCCCCAAGAAGGTAACTATCACCATTTTTGCTCAGGCCTGCTCAAACATCTGGGGTTAGCTTTAAGCAAACCAACTTGCCTTTTCAAGATGAGACAGCTTCTCCCTCCATTCCTGGAAACGGAAAAAAGGACAAGTCAACATTGTCTCGCCTGCTCCAGATGGCTACAGGAAACAATGAAGGGGCCAAGGAAGGGCTGCCTCGCTGCAAATACCAAAGAACACTAGGAATAAACCAGGGAGAGTTGAGCAGTAGTAACAAAGTCCAAGAGCAAAGTGGCTCAGAGCTCAAACCATCTGCTCTGCACAGTTCACATCAACTGCAGGTGCTGTTGTTACATCACAGTAGGAGGGGGCTCCTTCCTTAAAGAGACAGTCCCTGAAGGAAGGAGAATAACTGAGGGACTATGCCCAGTATGGGAGATAAAGAATGAGGGGGCAAGAGGGAACTATCACCCACAAGTGTGATAATTCAGCATTCTAAAATTGATCAGACAACACATTTATTGAAACTGCCTTGTACACATTCAGACCACTGGTACATCTAACACTGTATTGTATTATCCGGCAATGACTCTCCAGAGTTTCAGGCAGAGAAGGGTACATCTCAACACCTGCTACCCAAGAAAGAGCCTTTAACTAGAGATGCTGGAATCTTCGCATGCACTGTTTTACAACTGAGCAGCCAAAGGAAGTGCTCGGCCTTCTTACTACACCCACTAGCCACCCTCTGAGCACTGTGATTCCCCTACACATGTGGGCTTCTCAGATTGAAACAAAAGTCCAGTGCACCTTAAAGATAACAACATTTATTTCAATATGAACTCACTTCCTCAGACTGTGTCATAAATACTCAAGTAACAAAGAACCCGTAATCTTCCCAAACATAACTTAAGGAAAATAATTAGTGGGCAGACCTCCCTCAGCCTTGAAGTAGGCCAAAGAAATCCATGGAAAAAAAGAGAAAAAACTCAATGGATTTTAAGCTTTGCCCAGCACACCTAGGGAAGATCCCCAGTCAAAAGTTAGGGCAGACACACCAAAAACCCAAAACTCCATTTAAGTCAATCAGTGGAGTGGAACTCAAATATTACTGCTGAAAGTAGCAAATTGCTCAGCAACTTGCAGCTGCAATGAATAATCATAATAAGGAGTTGGAAAGGATAGGCTGATGGAAGTGTATGAATGGTTTAGGAGGTACTGGTAACACATGGAAATTCAGCGAATGGGTTTGGAATAGGCTGAACAGATACCAGAACAACTCCATTAAAAATACACTGCTAAGCAGAATTTGACTATTTAAGTAAAGGAATACCATAGCAGCTGGAAATCCTTGTTGTTGCATATACAGTTGTGGAGGATTGTTTTCAATAAATGTAGCCACAGCTATTAGGCAGGACAGGTTTCTTAGTTTTAAAAAACAAGTATTTAGTGCCATGGGATACCAGGGTATCGAGGAGAATGTGTACCTCTTCTAGCAGTTTTCTACAAACCCAGAGCACACCAGGGATTTTACAGGAACTGTTACCTGGTCCTTCTTCTCAAGTGCTAAGGTCATTCCTTCTGCCATCTTGGCCCTGCTGGTCTGGTGAGCCTCATTCTGTTCCTGAAGTTTCCTCAGAGAGGCTGTGGATGACATACAATAATGCTCCCTCTAAGCTATGGAGTCTCGTGAGCAAAAATTCTACTTTGTGAGCCACTGGCATTAAAGTTGTGAGCAAGTGATTTGGCTACTGCATAAATTAGTTTGCTCTGGAGCCATCCTTCCTGAGCTAAGACAAATATGCATGAGCCGGAGGCTAAAAAACTGTGAGCTAGCTCACACTAACTCAGCTTAGCGGGAACACTGTGTGTGGCACAAGTCCAAGTAACATATGTGCATTGCCTAAAGAAAATTTTGTAGTTCTCTTCTTCATTTATCTTTCTAGTTGTCTCGCAGCTACTCAGGAAGGCCGGTAAAACGGAATGATTCTGAGCCCACCCAATCAAGAAAACAGATGTTTTATTTTGGAGAACCATTCTGCTATGCAGTTTTACAAATGGTAACACAGGGATTCCTAAAAACAGAGCTGTATATACTTTGCATTTTAAAAACTTGCACAAGAAAAAAGCTGAATGCTGTTAAGGTAGCATACGGTGCATCAGCTTGCAGTTTTATCTCAAGTAATGGTTAAATTTACAATTTTGTCTGTAGAAAACTAGGGCATTTATAACTTTAAAATTCCATAAATATTTCAAATATTGTAATTTTGTATGCAAAATATGGTATAAATGATGCCTTTTATGTCGTTACAGTAGTTAAAATTAGTTTAGGTTCAGTAGGACAGTAATTATTACACATATTTCAGTTTTTCCCAAAATATACAGGGGGGGGGTGTTTCCTGCTGTGTGCAGGGAGGACCATGTTCCCCCCCCCCATGGCTTCACAATTCCAGAAATAGGGGTGTACATTCATATCTACCTGAGCTGAAAATATACCCATATGTTTCAGCATCCCAAGTGTATCCGGGTTTTCTTGGGAAAACCAGGGGGGAAATCCTGAGAAAATTCCAGATATATTTGGGGATTACCGGTAGATCTGAAAACAGCAAGAGGTAGGAGCAGATTGCTCCCACCTCTCAGCTGTTTGTTGGGCTTTGGCAGTCCCTTTAAACTTTAGAGAGACTGCAAAAGGCACGCCCCATCCAGAAATTTTACATTTCTAATGTTGTGTCTCTTATGCATAGATTATGCAAACAAATCAGGACACTATAAATGCTGGCTAAAATTTAGCAACACGTGTTTCTCTGACATCTCTGCCCAGGTAGCGACTTCTTTGGTCATTATAGATCAGGTAGAAATAACATTGTCATTTGATGTTTCCTGGAACTGAAGAAACTCCAGCCCACAGGAACAGGAAATAGGGGCACACAACACCAAACTCTGGCAGTATGAAGCCTTGGGACTGGTCAGTCCTGGTGCCTGGCCTTCTGTTGTTGCCTAATCAATAAAGCAGGAACTAAGTTTTGCTTGCTCCACTTCAGGCTCAGCTGCAAACCTCCAGTGACCTTGGGCTGGACTTGGGTATTGCCACCCATGGTCCTAACCTACCCTCGGGCAGAAATACAGTGTGGAAGTTCTCTCTATTGCAGGAAGAGAACGCTTACTAACATCATTATGGTCTGCACAAGGACAAGAGAAAAGCCCACTGAATTGGACCCCATCTAGGTCCTTACAGTAGCCAAAAAGATGCCTCCATGATGCCTGCAAGCAGGGAAGGAACTACCTCCCCACACTGTTGCCTTCTCCCCCAGCAACTAGTATTCAGAATTGCCCTACCTCTGAACCTCCCTTTTTAAAGCTGTGTAATCTAGTGTCCATTGCTTCCTCTTCCGGTAGCAAGTTCCATAACTAATTATGCCGTCTAGTAAGAAACTCCCTGCTTTCCTCCGTACACTTCCAGGGATTCTCAAGCTCCTTTTAAAGGGAAAGATAAGAACAATACGTACAATCCTGGTGCTTCTCTAATGCAATTTCAAGCTTCTCCTTAATCTTCTGCAAGTTTCGAACCTGCTCAGCATAATCTTGGGGGAGAGCGGAGAGGTGGTGGCACCAGCCAGATGTGGACAAGAAACAAGAAAAAGGGAGGAGGGGAGGGGAGGGGGGGAAAGTGAGTGAAAATGGACAGTGATTTTCTTATTCTGAAAATCATTTTTTTCATTAAGGCAAGGCAGCCAGCCTAACCTTGACAACACACATACCACTATTGTTCACTAACTATGGAGGAGGTACACAGAAGGAGAGACTCAATTTTTGCTGCCACAAGGATGCACAAAGACCACATTTGACATGAGGATAGGGATGGATACCATGCCAGCCAATAGCTCTTGTGGCCAAACTAGGCCTTATATGTAACATGAATCAGGACATGGGCAACCCACCTGTCTTGCTGGCACACGCAAGAACTGAGTAGCTTACCTTGAAACAGGCTTCATTCTGCTCCAAAGCACTGTGGGTGGGGGGTTCCAGTTTCCTTTCTGTGCTGCTTTTGCCAGTGGAAAGGGCATGTGAAGCCAGAGAAAGGGGCAAACAGCTTCCCCCATGGCTTTTTCCACTGGGAAAAATGGGGCGGGTGGGAAACTAGAAGCCCCTCTTCCCCCCTTGCAGCATTCTACAGCCAAATGGAGCACTTTCAAAACAAGTTAACCAGTTCTTACATGCGACAACAGGTTGGGCACCCGCTTTCCAACTCCTGTCACACATAACATCCAGTTTGCCTCTTAGACTGAGTCTTGCGCCCTTTTAAAAGTCTCTCAAAGCAATCCCAGTTAGTACTTTGAGGCATAAAGTTAAGCTTTAATTGCAGCTGCCTCTAGAACCCCCTGTAGATCCTCCTGCAGAACTTCTCCCCACCCTTGACAGCATAACCACTGAGCACACTAGAGAAAAGGATCCCAGCAAATATCGAGCAACCCAACGATACCACATCACTCCCTTGTGCATCTACTCCCCAGTGTTTTGGGGTGTTTTTTTGGGGGGGGGTTGCTCCAAGAGGCCAACAAGTCCCCATGACTGATAGGCAGAGCAGTGCCCAACTCTTCCAATAGTCTACTGTGACTATTTCACAGCTGTGTACAAGATGGTATGTATTTGTATCTAATGTAACGTGTGAATGGGCCTCTATTATCCCAAAGTATCTTTGTATATACTGCAACCCCGATCTGGGTGGGCACTCCTTCAAAATACCCCACAGCTCAAAAAACTAACAATAGAGACTGTCCCCTCATTGTATGATAAGGGAGCAACAACCATACGATCCAGGGTTTTACAACACTGGTAATCCACTCAATCACAGAGAATACACTGTAGCAGATTGAAGGAATACAATCAAACAAGAAGTTTAAAAATATGCAGCTGCCTCACACCAGTGTAGATCATTGATCTAGCACAGTACCGTCTGGTAGTGAATGTTCAGGGACTTAGGCAGAGAACAGGAAATCAGTTCATCTGGGAATTCTTTTTCTACTCTGTCCAACTAGAGCCAGACTTCTTTTCAGAGAAGGAAAATCTTGGCCAGAGACAGACAAGGAGGTTACCTCCCAATTCTTTTCTGGAGCCAATTGGAGGTTCCAGTCCATCTGCTCTAAAAGATCCTGCCTCCTAGCAGACGGCCAAAGCCACAGGATGGTAACAAGCAGGAAGAAAGTTCTATTTCCCAGATTGACTAACTGGAGATGTCAGTCATTGAGCACTTGCATGCAAAGCATGCTCTCTACCAATAAGCTATGGGCCCTAGCCCTTTTGAAGTCTACCTGAGTGGTAGGCAGAAGACTATTACTTTGACATCAGAGGTTTATGGTTTCTGAATACAGCACCCTTGTTCCCAGTTTCAGCACCATGTTCACAATGCAGAACATACCAGAGAGCTTGACTTCCAGCTTTCGTATTTGTTCATTCCTTCGAAATAGCTGAGATGAGAGGTCTTCTCTGGAACTACTTCCATCTGAAGGCTTGGCACATTAGAGAGAACAAGCAGAAACACTCACTTAAAATGAGGGGGAAGCAATCCAACATACTAGTACATTTCACGGCACAAGGAAAACTGAAGAGCCCTCCTCAAATCCTGAAACAGATTCTAAAGAAGAGAAGAATACAGCTTTCCACTAGCTAACCTAACAGTAGGAAACAGGTTTATTAAAAGGAGGGCTATCTTCCTGCAATGTTTAAGTCATGGGAAATGCTCCCTTAGTTTTTCCTTGTGGCTAAAAGATACAGGCATACCAAGCCGCTCCTAGATCCTCTCTTGTGATCAGATTACACATTTTGGTAGGATATACTTTGCTGGACTCAACATGGATCTTAATCAATCCTCACATGAGATATTCTCCCTGGCAGAAATAACTAGGCAGAAGCGCCAACAATCACTGAGGGCTAGTCATGACGAAAGACCTCATGTGCTGGAGGCATAGTCATGACGAAAGACCTCATGTGCTGGACCTCATGTGGCACATCACCCACTCTCTAGGAGAGGGAGAGAAGTGATTCCCTTTTACAAACAAGTTGACTTCACAGGAAATGTTCAAGGTTGTATTTTTGTCCTACTTTATCTGTACATGTTTACATCAGACACGTTTAGACCAGGCAAAGACTTATAGCAGAGAAAAACTGGGTACAACAAACCCCACCAAAAATGATTAGCTACATTTTCTGGTTTACTTTTATTCTACAGATCTTCTACAATTCACAGAATACAGAAAAATGAATAGCTGGCTTTGGAAATGCAGACTAGGAGAGCCCTATTGGCTCAGAGCAAAGATCTATCAAGTACAACTTCCTGTTTCCAGTTGCCCCAAAGTCCCACAGTGGGGGTACAGAGATCAATGTCTCTGGCTGCAGCTGCGACCCAGCCAATGGCGTTCAAAGGTACACTGCCTCTCAACATGCAAGTCATATCTAGTTGTTCTAGCTAACAGCCACTGATGGATCTGTAGATGGAAAGTGCTGACAAGTTGCAGCCGATTTATGGTGACCCTTTTTTCCAAGGCAAGAGATCTTCAGAGGTGGTTTGCCATTGCCTGCCTCTGCATATCAACCCTGGATTTTCTTGGTGGTCTCCCATCAAAGTACCAGTCAGGGCCAACCCCTGACGGACCTATCCTCCATCATTGTAAGATTCCTAAACTAATAGCCATCACTGCCTACCTTGGCAGTAAGTTACATAAGTTAATGATGTGCTGTATGGAGATTACTGTTAATTGTCTACCTTGAATCTATTGTCCATCATCTTCACTGGTTGTCCTCAAGTTCTAGTGTGTTTGTTTGGGGTTTTTTGGGGGGGAGAAAGTTCTATTTACTTACAAAGTCATCCCCTGAATCTGCTCCCACAGATGTGATTGACTCCTTGCTGAATGATCGGGGGATCCTGGCTGCCCCTCCTGGCCGTGGTGCGGTAGCCGCTTCCTCAGCAATCTTCTTCTTCAGTTTTGCAAACATCCTTGTGTCAGGCCCTCAAAGTCAAGATTGTTCCAGATCAGATGACCAGCTAACACAGAAAGGAACTGGAGAAATCTCTCTTTATGCCTGAACCAACTTCCATCCGGTGAATTTCATTCCCTCATAGCCCTGCAGTGCTTGGAAATCAATGAGACACATATAAAGACCACGTCTAACAAGGCAATTACATGAACACACACCAGCCTATTCCTAAGAACAGTATTTTATATTTAGAATAGTAAAAAGGTAAAGGTTCCCTTGCTCGAAAGCCAGTCGAATCCGACTCTAGGGTTGCGGTGCTCATCTCTGTTTCAAAGCCGAAGAGCCAGCGCTGTCCGAAGACGTTTCCGTGGTCATGTGGCCGGCATGTCTAATCACCAAGGCGCACGGAACGCTGTTACCTTCCCACCGAAGTGGTACCTATTTAACTACTTGCAATTTCTTGCTTTCGAACAGCTAGGTTGACAGGAGCTGGAACTAGAAATGGGAGCTCACTCCATCATGCGGCACCCAGGTCTCGAACTGCTGAACTACTGACCTTCCACAGCCTGCAGTTCAGCGTCTTAACCACTTGAGCCACCGCAGCTCCTATATTTAGAATAGCCCCCGTCAAATTTTTTCAGCACCTTCTAAATTTACCAAACCTTCACCTCTCCTCTGTCCACCCACCCCACAAACTCAATAAACTATCTGATAACTGAGCATGTGGAAATTCCTTTGTGTTTTGACATGGATCCCACAATGCAGTGCAGAAGAGTCTGTGGGATGGGGGAAGGCTTATTAAAGATCTCTACAAGAAAATTACCTCCTCCTCTTTGCCCTTCTTACTGCTGCTGTCTTCCCTGCCCAGCTGCTCTGAAGGACAGGAGTGCCTCAGCTCCTTCCTCCAATTGCAGCTTCATCCTGTGACAGAGAAATTCTCCCACTTCTATTTGCCTGGCAGGATCAGCTAGTCACTAGTAAAGTCCCATCATTCACAGCTATCCTGTAGGTCTTGAGACCCTCCTAGTAGGTGCATGGAAACTGGGAAGGCGTTTGAGAACTTCAGTTTTAACAGGTACCTTGTTTAGGAATTCAAGATCACTGACAGGTGGCCATGGACTGAGTGAGCTTGTAGTGCTTCTGAAAAATAAACAAAGGGCCATCTTCCAACAAAGGGATATTCACAGTTGTAAGGTAACTCTTTGGACAGTTCATCCAAAACCTTTACCAGACTAAGTATATGGTCAATATCATGGCAGGGCAAAAGTGAGACTAGCCAGGATTTTAATCTGACTGTAGCTGAATCAGAGAGGTACCATTTTATGGCATGATCCAAACCCTACCATTGAATGCTTTAGGAAGCCAAAGAACTCCAAAACATGCTAGTGCCAAGCTGCGGTGGCGGTATATCTCCAGGGCAGAACTGGGCTCCACTGGGTCATGTTAGGGGTAGGCCAAGGAGTATTTTAAGCCTCCTCGGTCTTTGTCAAGCCCCCTAGTGCAATGTAATCCAGTGACAACTTCTGACATAGCTTTAAAAATTCCCATAAAACACATGCAGAGAAAAACACAACTGCCTCTCACCATACCCCCCCCCCCAAGCACTAGCACAGTTTAGCACCAACTAGGTAAGTGCCATCAATCACAGCCCTCCCAATCACTACATAAAACCCAGCCAGGACAGCCAGAGCTCAGACTACAGTGTGGAGCTCATGTTGTACATATTCTCAGAACACAAGTGGGAGTATTTGGTAATGGGAACCCTGGCGAAGGGCCCCTTTATGCAGAGTGCAGCATACACAGCCAAGGCAGGGAACTGCCACTGCTGTAGTATATAAATAACACTGCTCTGCACCAGCTCCTTATAGCTACTCCACCTCTGGACCCAAACAAAGTCAGTGTGGTGTAGTGGTTAGAGTGCCAGACTAGGACCTTGGAGGCCCAGCTTTGAATCTCCAGTATGCAATGGAAGCTAGCTGGGCAACCTTGGAATAGTCATACACACTTACCTACCTCACAGGTTCCTGCGAGGATAAAATGGATGCGAGAAAAGTGATGCAAGCTGCTTTGGGCCCCCAACAGGGGAAAAGATGTAAGCAAGGGGGGCTGCCCAAGCTGGGACCATGGCTAGTGCCCCCATGACCACTCTGTTTATGCCTCACCCCACCCCACCCCCAATTGCTAGCAATCAGTATATAGTACAGAACGGGGAGGGGGAACCCTTGCATAGATGGTGGACAGCACTGCATTGCACTCTCAGCACACTAACATGTCATGCTAACACATCCCTCTGCAAGCAGGGGATACGGGCAGCACAACAGACTGAGGTGACTGTCAGCCATTTTACCCCATACACTACTACTTCTGGCCACTAATGATGCCTACTGCCTCGCTTGAACAGAACCCATGCCGCCCCAGCTGACATCATGCAGAAAATTTTGATCGATCTCCCCACAAGGGATGGGTTAAGTAGTGTCAGCTCAATGACTATACCACATCCCCCCAAGAGGTGCATCCCACCATGCTGAAACCTCTAAGGGGAAACTGCAAATGCATCATGTGCAGAATTCTGGCATCCACTTGTTGTTTGCTGCTGCCATGGAATATTGCTCACTACCGTCCATGTGTCTCTTTAGACTCTTTGCAAGCAGCCCTCCAGAGGAAGAGGCCAGGGTGGGCTCCATTCACATAGTGCAGTGCCAGTCACCTGCTGAGCCTACAACACAACCAACAGCTGAATGGCCAGTGTGCATCTAGCTGCTTTGCTATGGGGGTTGCCAATTCGCTAACACATCCTGGCCCCCTTGCAAGCTGCTTGGCAGACAATTGTTTGACCAGTTGTCTCCATCACTATCATGGGCATGCAGTGATAGGCCAGTGCTACCTGTGATCCTGAAGCCTGTCAGAGGCACACAGGTCTTCCAGGGAGAAGGCAGCCCCATTCATCTGCCTTGCTTTCAGAACCATATGCCTGACAGTGGTCACAGCCATCTTTCTGTTTGACTGGGGTTTGACAGACTAGGACTGGTTTCTACCCTATTGCTCATTACTAACCTCAGACTGGGAGACTGGACATAAGAAGAGATTGCTGCAACAGACCCCTGGTCCACCCAGACAGGCATAGTGTTTCACACGACAGCTAACCAGTTGCCCTGGAGGGCCAAACAAACAAGGGATAGGGGCTGATGCCCTTCCCTGCTGCTGCCTCCTAGCACTGGTATTGAGGTTTGCCCTCTCTGTAGATGGACATTCCCTTCAGTCAACATGGCTAGAAGCCATTGATGGATGATGACTCTGTCTAACCCCCTTTTAAAGCTATCTATGCTACTGTCCATTCCCAAGAGCCAGTTTGGTGTAGTGGTTAAGAGCGGTGGACTCTAATCTGGAGGACTGATTTTGATTCCCCACTCCTCCACATGCAGTCAGCTGGGTGACCTTGGGTCAGTTACAGTTCTTTCAAGAGCAGTTCTCTCAGAGCTCTCTCAGCCCCACCTACCTCAGAGGGTGTGGGGAGATGAAGGGAAGGAGATTGTAAGCTACTCGGAGGCTCTGTGTGAAGGCCAGAGTATAAATCCAACTCTTCTTCTTCTACTATCTCCACTAGTAGTGAATGCCACAGTTCAATTACTTGTTGAGTAAAAAAGTATTTCCTTTTGGTTGTCCTGAAAATATTTCCCAAAAATTTCATTGGATGCCCCCAAGTTATAGTATTAGGGGAGAGGCTGAAAAATCTGCTCTCCAATTTTATAAGCCTATACATTCACCTGCCCTGACCTAGATGGCCCAGGCTAGTGCAGTCTCATCTGATCTTGGAAGTTAAGCCTGATCAGCCCTGGTTAGTACTTGGATGGGAGTCCACCAAGAAAGTCCAAGGTTGCTTTGCAGAGGCAAGCGTGGCGAACCACTTCTGAATGTCTCTTACCTTTAAAACTCTACAGGGTTGCCATAAGTCAGCTGAGACCTGATGGCACTTTCCACCACATGTTCACCCAAAAAGTGCAGAGGCATGTCCTCGCAAGGGAGAAGTGAAGGCTCCTTAACTTTCACATCCCTCCCCCACATCACTGCTGATATCCTATAAGCCATGCAGCCTGTATCGGGAGGGATGAAGCACAAGGGTTGCTGAGATGAGGAGGAACAGGCAGCAGCCATGAATCCCTGACTGTAATAGGGGGATGCATGAAAGTCTTTCAACAGTCCAGGGGACTGCCTTGAAATGGTTTTCCTCCTTTCTTCATGGTCAGGGACAGAGGGTGGCGCTGGGCAAGAGGGTCTCCCCGCGGTACCCGCTAGAATGTGGAGTGCCACAGGGGGCGATCCTCTCGCCAATGCTATTTAACATCTACATGTGCCCCCTCGCCCAGTTAGTCCAGAGTTATGGGCTGGGTTGCCATCAGTAGGCTGATGACAGCTTTATCTGTTAATGGACGGTCATCCGTCCTCTGTTCCTGGAAATCTGGCTGAGGCTTTGGATGCTGTGGCTGGACGGTTGCGGCAGAGTCAGTTGAAGTTAAATCCATCAAAGACAGAGGTCCTGTACCTGGGTCGTGGGGGTTTGGAGGTGGGCACCAGGCTTCCCACACTGGAAGGGACACCTGTGGTGCTGGCCCAGTCCGTGAAGCGCCTGGGAGTAACACCGGATACCTCCTTATCTATGGAGGCCCAGGTTGCTGCAGTCGCCAGATCTGCATTTTTCCATCTTAAGCAGATCAGACTACTGAAGCCCTATCTCGCCCCCCAGGACTTAGCTATGGTGATGCATGCCACGGTCACTTCCAGGCTTGATTACTGCAACTTGCTCTACACAGGCTTACCCTTGAAGCTGATCCGGAAATTACAGCTGGTATAAAACACGACGGCATGCCTGCTGACATTGACGCCTGCGCGGGCTCATGTTCAGCATGTGCTCTGTCAGCTGCATTGGTTGCCGGTTGAGTACCGGATAAGAACATAAGAGATGCCAATGTTGGATCAGGCCAAAGGCCCATCCAGTCCAACACTCTGTATCACACAGTGGCCAGAAATACCAGTGCCATCAGGAGGTCCACCAGTGGGGCCAGGACATTAGAAGCCATCCACTTCAATGTGTTGGTAATTACCTTCAAAGCCTTATACGGCCTGGGACCAACATACCTAAGGGACTGCCTCTTCCCATATACACCTTGGAGAGTGTTACCCTCGGAGAGTCAACATCTCCTGGTGATCTCTGGCGCAAAGGACGTCCGCCTAGCCTCGACCAGGGCTTTTTCTGCCCTGGCCCCCACCTGGTGGAACATCCTCCCTATTGAGATCAGGGCCCTGCGGGATCTTATGCAATTCCGCAGGGTCTGCAAGACGGAGCTGTTTCGTCAGGCCTTCTGCTGAGGCAGCAGGCGTCCACAAATAGCCCCCCGAGGTTGCAATCGCCCACCTACTGATAACCACCCATACCTAGTTACATCAATGGGCCAGATTCTCCCTACAGCAAGCATGACTATTGATTTTATATGTTTTAAATTTTATTGTATTTATTGAAATGTTGTGACCCGCCTTGAGCCCGTTTACAGGATAAATGTGAAAAATAAATAAATAAATAAAACAACTGGTTGAATTGTGATTGCTGTGTTGTTGTTTTTACCAGAAAAAATGTTATGACGCAAGATAACTTGGGTTTGTATGATTTCTCTATATCACCAACATGGCAAGAAGTTGAACCTGAACTGCTGATACTCATTGTCCCAAGAAGAAGGTTGGGGCCTTATGCATTTAAAGCAGGTGCTTTGTTGCTAAACCACAACATAAAACACTGATGCTGGCTTTATAGGGAAAAAAACTGGATCCAATACCGAGGAATCTGAAATACATTTCTAGGCCTGAAGCCAGACAAATGTCCTTGTTTGGATGCCTTCCTTGAAAGCATAAAAAATTTAATTTGTACAGGAGCCCAGAGAAGAAAACCATTTCTAAGAAGATGTTAAGAAATGCTTCAATTAGTTTTACACCTGGCCCACAGAGTGGCTGTTCCTTTACACAATATTAAAAACACACCTACAACCCTACAAGCAACATTAATATGTCACCTATCACAGCTTTGTTTAAGGATTTATTATTTATTTTAAATATTTATATTTTGCCTCCTTGTGCTCATATTCCTAAGGAGACAGATAATAGATGTTTCAGTTGAAAGCACTAAGGGAGACTGACAAGCTTCGGTCTGCTGCATGATTCATGCCTGACATTTCTAACTCTGTCAGGGTAGTACAGTGACTAAAATATCAGGCTAGGACTAAGGAAATCCAAGTTCACTATTTGCTCTCCCTCAACCTCACCTACCTAACAGGATTGCTGTTTTAATTCATTGGTGGGGGGAGAATCAAGTGCATTGCCCTGAGCTCCTTGATGGAAGAATAAAAGTTGAAAGACACTGTGAACACAACAGCAACCAATCTGAGGGGAGGCCCTGCTCAGCCACATCAGGGAAAACATCAGCCTTTCCATATACCTGACACCATCACCCTGAGCAACCATGAATTATTAACTGGGTCCCTTCACAACTTCGCTGATTGCTCGGCCACACTGATCCTCAGAAGGTCTTATTGATATTATCAGACCAATTGCTGTACTAGGCAAGGAAAACCCGTGGTGATGGGCAAGCTGTCTTTCTGGTGAAAATAACTGTTGTTACCATTCTTCTCAAAGAAAACCCTCAGAAGCCACCATGAGGGTTTTTGAGAATGCAGAGAATTAGCTTGTATTTCCTGTTGCAACTACCTTGAGAATAATGTTGTCCAATGATGTCTATTATTTGTTTGGACAACTTCTTTGCTGCACTTCCACAGAACCTGCTTGAGGCAATTTACAAAGTGAAACTTTAAAAAACAACCAAAGCCCTAGCATTAAAATCCCAGCCAGATCATAAAATGCCGAATGAGCAAGACCATAAAATGCTGAATACATCACAGTTTAGAACGAGTCTCAAAGTAGGTCAGACTGGGAGTGGACTCCATTGATGACACTGGGCCATCCTGCAGACAACACAGACAGACGAACAGAACACAAATAACTTTAAAAAAGAAGAAGCAGTTTCTTCCTTGCACTAGAACTGCAAGTTCAAGTTCCAATAATCAGTTTAGGCTTGGCTCAACCACTTAAAGCGGATTCTTGGTAACCTCAGCTTTACATGACAGAAATAAAAATTTTAAGTCCAGTGACACCTTTAAGACCGACAAAGTTTTATCCAAGGTATAAGCTTTGTTGGCCTTAAAGGTACCACTCAATTCAAACCTTGTTCTGCTGCTTCAGAACAACACGGTTGCCCACCTGAATGCGGTAACTGAAGAAGTGCGCATGCACCCAGAATTAAACTTTGTTGGCCTTAAATGTGCCACTGGACTCAAACTGTGCTCTGCTGCTTCAGACCCGCCGGATTCTGTGACAGAAATAAAAGTGCCTTTGAAGACTCCCCCTTCCCCTTTCAAACAGAAATTAGAACTCTCACATCCAAGCCCTCCACGAGTACAAAAGCTGTCACGGGCGCTTCACTAGAGTTTACCCGACTCTCTGAAAGGACCTTTGTTACTGACATTGCCCCCGCCCACTCCTCCTTCGTATTCACCGTAACGCCAGGACAGCCGCCTCCTCGTTCAGGAGACACCTCCACGTCGGAGTTATGACAGCAAGACCAGGCAAACCCCCCCCCCCCCCCCCCAACATCCAATTCGCCAAAAACGAAGTTCCACCCAAGTCAACCCTTCTCAGTCACCGCGAAGAATCTAGTCCAGCCCCCGACGCAGAACTGTTATCGACCCCAGCGCTCCTCCTGCTACCGGAATGCCAGAGAACTGTCACGAGGCGGCAGTCTACAGCCCCCTTCACACGCACGCTAGACAAAAGACAACCTGCATTAACCTCCCCTCACAACTTACCGGCTGTTCCTCACAGGAACGATACTACCCCCGGACCCGGAAACGCCGTCTCTACAGGCTGGCGGAACTGACGAAAAAGGGATCGATGACGCAAGCGCAAAGAGGAGGGACGGGAGGAGATGCAGGGGGCGGGACGGCGCAAGAGGCCCGCCCCTCGCGTGATCGGGAAAGCGCGGGGAAAGGAGAGCGGTGGTCTTACCGCCGTAGCGCTCGCTGTAGGCAGCCGTCTCGGGCGTGGCGAGAAGGCAGGCTGCGCTCTCTCGGAAGCGGTTGCGGAGAGAGCGCTTTTCCTCCTGCACAAATAAGGCGAAGCCGAATTAAAGTCACCTCGGCGTTTTTTGTTTTTAACCGGACCGTATTCGACCGACCAACTTGTGAAAACGAAGGAAGTTGTATTTGAAGGCGATCTGGCTGATAATTCCATAGAGCCAGTTCTGAAGCAGTAGAACAAAGTTTTGAGTCCAACACAAGGTTTGAGTCTAACACAGGTTTTATTCAAGGTATGAGCTTTCCTGTGTACTCACACTTCTTCAGATAGTAACAGTTCATACATATAGACCGTAATGAAAATGTTTTAATATCGGTTGCATCTGTTAAAACATCTTCATTATGTTGCATGCTAATTTGCTGCTCAACCTCTGTCGATATGTATGAACTGTTAACTTCCATTTCAATGTATCTGATAACGTTTAATCTCTTTTACCTCCCCACCCAGGTGCTCATTTTTAAGAGGAGACATGGGGGGGGGGTTTGAGTTTTTTAAGCATGGGCATTCATCACCTACAGTACAGAACAGAGCTTCTAGGTGAGAAGGATGAGCTCCAACCACCTTGTCCCCTCATCAACTCTCCTACCAGAAGATGTGTTCCCCAGGTGCTCTTGACTCTTCACATATCTGTTTTCAAGAAAATTAACAGAAGTTCTGGAACTGGACATTATTAGAGATGTATGATCACACTGTTCTGTTAAGGAGATCAAAGCTTCATAGCAGTTTACATTTCAAGATCAACAGTATATCAAACCACAGACCTATAGAGAAAGGAGACTGCAACCAACCACAGAATCCTTAATATGCCACTACCAAGAACATGCTAGCCTCATTTCTACCACAGACAAATTTCACCCACAGGAGATTGGGCCCAAATATAATGCTGCAGAGAGAGCAAGAGCACGCGAGAGAGAGTGTGTGCGCATGTGTGTGTACACTACCCTTATAGCAGCGGCTTGGTTTTATAGGAAGTACCAGAGACTTTCAGTTTTGTGTTTCTTTACAGATATATCATTGAACCTGTAATATGAACTTCTGTGAGAACAGGTAAAAGACCAGGTTCACAGCCACACCAGTTAAAAAAATAAAGTATTCCAGTGTTTGTACCAGCCAGTTGCAAAATACAAAAATTATCATTTTGCTTTCATTCTGCACCCAGATAATTAAACTGGGTTGATCCTCCTCATCCAAAATGAGAACCAGTATAGTATAATGGCTAATGTTGGGCTTAGCCCTGGAAGAACCAGGTGCAAACTCTAATGTGAAACTGACTAACTATGAGCTATTCATTCTCCCAGCCTAGCCTACTTCACAGGCTTGTAAGGTTCAAATGGAGGGAGAATATGCATGTCACCCTAAGGTCTTTGAGTAAGAGCGGGATAATGATATAAAGTGATTAAGACAACCTGCTATTTAACCACCACTAATGGCCAAGGCTAGGTTTTGACAATAGCCTATGACAATATTGATGACATTGGTCAATAATGTGCTCTCATCATCTGAGAAACATCACTGTAGTCACTGCTGCAAATAAGCTAGGATTTGCAGTTCATAAGATTCTTTTACATACCGTATTAACTGCCCAAGTTTGCAAACTAACTCAGTGGCCACAATTTAAAAGCTTTCAAATGTTAGGCCCTAGAACTTGGGCACTTCTTAACTACATTTTATAGAAGCATGACTGCTGCCAACCCACATATTTGACATACATATAAGTAATGTTTGGTGTTTACAAAGTGAAGAGGTCATTACATTTTTTTTCTACCAAGTGTTCATGCTTCACATACCTTAGAAAAACAAAGTTAGGTAATGGGAAACAAACTTAGGTGCTTAAATATTTAGTGCAAGTTCCTCTAAACAGAGAAACAGGAATTTCATATCAAACAATTTTATAAATAATTACACTTAATTTGCTGTATGACGTTAGGAAGTCATGTGTGCCATTTTGTGAAAGTTTTTTTAAGACACTGAAATAATTGCTGTTGTAAAATTCATTTCAAATTAAGTTACCACTGACATTTTTAAAAACCTGAAGGAGTAATGTGAAATTAAGTAGGGCAGTGACAGGGCAACAAAAATCTACTCATTGGTCAGCCAGGTTTTAAACCTGTTTCCAAGTCACCTGATTTTAGGGGAAAACCAGATCTGCTAATCCTAGAACTGGGCTTTAGGACTTCAGGCCATGAACAAGGGCATCATTGCAAACTATGCTGTTCTGGAATAGAAGATTAGTCTGAACACTTTCAGACAACCTTGCAGTTAATAAAAGCTTCATGAGCCCTCGAGCTTCTCAAATATACTATTGGAAGGCTGATCAGAGGATAGACTAGAAGACTGAAGAAAAATGAGAAAAGATCAAAAATCCCTTCATTTGTTTATAGCCCACCTAATCCTGAAAACTCAGAAACACACAATTAAGCAAATATCTTTATTGTATACTGGTAATACATAGAATTTGAGTGGGTCTCGTACAAAATTCATGTACAGTAATTCACAACTGATGAATGTACTCACATTCCAAGCAAACATTAACCAACGTGAAAGTCTTCAGTACACTGACAGCAAAACCCCAGAAATGTCATCCTTGTCACTTAATACAACACAAATCAGTATTTTTACAGTGTTTTGTTCCCTTGATGCTATGTCAGCTCTGTAGAGAATCACAGTGTTAGCTCTGAAATTTATTTAGTGGAATAAGTCTTCCAAACAGCAATGAATTGAGGATAGTGGCAGAAACTTTGGGTTTACAAAAAGATGGCCACAGGCCCTACTGTTACCACCTTGCCGAGATAGCTTTTCACTGAACCCTTGGAAATACATCTGCATGAACCACAGCATGAATCAATATCAGCCGACAAACTAGGAGAAATATCTGATGGAGTGAATAAGGTAACATTCATGGTTGAGCTTATGGCTTCAGTAATTCAGATGCTTTAGAGACAAAGTTTGTACAATATTACAAGAGACAGACATCAGATTTCCACATCAACTGGGGACTATGGTGTATAAGCAATAAGTCTTGGCAAGGAAAAAAGTATCATTTACAACCTTGTAAACAAGAATGGTCCCTGATCTCCTCAGCATAAGAGAAGCATCGCATCACACTGGTCAGATCAGGAATTGCTGTAAAAATCTCAAGTCATAATGTAGATAAACTGGCACCAAGACGTGGTTATGTAACAAAGGTAACAGTGGCTTTGTGAACCATTACAGAGGTTTGTTACCCTACAGCATTATCACATGCACTATGGACTAGCAGCACTTAGAACAGGTTTGGTACATGTAAAACGCTTGTGCTTCAATCTCTTCGTGAAAGAGATCCTAAGATACAGCTGTATATTCCCTACAACTGGCATCACAGTTCAACAACATTTCAATTACAGACAAGCATTTGCCACAGATTAAAATTCTTTTTACTACTAACGAGGCAAGTTATTACGATTTCCAAATAAGATGTGTGTGTTTTTTAAAAAAGTCATTACTTTCTAATACAAGCTTATTTTTTAAAAAATCACACAAGTTTGTCGACATTGTGCCATTCGAGGTGCAGACAATGGGACTGACTTTAGCTTGTTAAGACTTGTTGGTTAGAATTTCACTGGGAACCCAGTCCTAACAAAACATTACGGAGACGGAAAAAATTATTCTGGTGCACTCACAGCTTTTCCTGCCAGCGGCTTGCAGTCTGATAAAATGCTTTCTGATTTGAATTCATTTTAATTGTGCAGCAGAAATCAATTCTATTTGAAGCTATTGAATTTATATTTTCTTTTGCATTATCCTAACGTGCTCATATAACCAAAAAGACTAGGAGAATCACTACAGCCAAGAATACACTACTTTGATATAGCCAAACAAAGCATCTGCAGAGCTAGAGACTTACAAGATCTATATAAGCAACCAAAATATGCATAAACGTGCAAAATGGCACTGAGAGTACAGGCTTAAAGATCCACAACAGAACCAGTAAACTGGCCCTAGTGATACCAGAATTCAAAGCCACCAATAAAAATTAAGCTAGAATCCAATAAGCAACTTCAGTACTTGCTCAATATTAGTTCCATCAATTTCATCATGCGATGTCAAGCAGTTACATACCCGTTCCTATCCTTCCCAGTTCTCAACGGAAAGGAATGCTGAAATAGTAACTAGTTTTTTTTTAAAAAAACCCGTCAATTTACAATTGTTGCCAAAAAAGCAGTACATCCTAAACAATCTGTTTTCTATTTCACTTTCTAGAGAAACACTTCCCCTGCCCCAGTTCTTTCCTAACCCTTCCATTTGCCAGCTCAACAGGGCAAAAAGTTGTTTGTTGTGCTTTATGACTAAAAAGGCATAGAGCAAATGACATACAAGACCTTCTTCATACAAAGCAGATACTCTACCACTGAGGCATAGCCCCTCCCCTAACATGCTGGATAGAGCAGATTTTGGTGAGTAATGTTTTGGGTCTGCTGCCTAGCTTAGCATGGCTCCAGTGACTTAATAAAAGCCTGAAGAAACTTGCAACATAAACACTGAGAGCTTTTCATTGAAGCAAGCAGCCCAACTGTTTCACTGGCGTTCCCAAGTGTGTTTGAGACTTTAGCTTGGCAAATACAAAACATTCCAAATTAGAAACTACGCATGATTCCAGACCAAACTGGATTTCTGAAACTCCCATCAAGGGTTGGTTTGGTTGACATTGCAAGAACATAATACAGGAGAAGACTCACTTAGACTGAATAGCCACTCCGAGTAGCTTCTTTATGCCTAACAAAAGA